CTGCTAAGAAGTAATAAACAAATTATTTTAACTAAGTTAGTTCAAATGAATTACTTTTTGCCTTATCATATCTTACTTTATTTTTAACTTTCATTATCTTACATTCTGAAAAGACCTTTATTCTAAATTTTCATTTCATTTCATTCCTCTTTTCTCCCATTTTAATATCTCATTCCTTCATCTTATTTTTATACACATTTCTTTTGTTAAGAAACTGAAACTATTCTTCTTGTTGAAATTCGACATTATCAAGCAATCTGACGGCTGAAATTATAGGAATAAAGAAGTTGCATAAGCAATTGAGAATTTCAGATTATGAACTCACATCGTTTAGTCTTATTATTATTTTGCTTTCTTTCCTTCTCATACCATTAATTCGGTACCTGTTAACATATTTCCGGAATATTCCAGATTATTCAAATTTAATATATTTCTTTCAACAACAAATGCAAATGTTCAGTATCGCGAATAAATTCTCGATAATCAATATTGGATAATTCTAGTAAAATAACATCCTGATGAAACAAATTCTTAATTTTAAAATTACACTTTAAACATTGGAGTGATTCTGATTTTTCTTATCAAGAAACTTTATCAGATTTTTTTATTCCGTTCTCAAATATGATTAATAATGATCGTATGATTACATCTATATGATTCCTTTCAGCAAATAAGCAAACCGATGATAGAGGAGGAGACTGTCAAAAAGAACGATGAAGTTGAGAAAATAAGCTATGTTGAATTTCTGCGTACCACAAAACAGCCTGCAACTAACCAAATATTTCCTAATAATGCTCAAAATTTGAATAATTTATCAAAGTTTGTTAAATTTTAATTCGTTAAAATATTCCGTTTAACGATAAGCGATTTATCAATTGAATATTTATCAATTAATCAATTCAATTTCCTTTCAAAGTTTTAATAACCGTAGTAGTGGTAAAATGAATTGAAAAGTCTTAAACAAATGTTGTGATCCTTCTAAATTATCAGTTGTGATCCTTCTAAGTTATCATTTGCGATCCTTCTAAGTTATCATTTCTCTCTTTCGTCATTTTCAATTTTCCTCCTTAAAGACATAAAACTAAGGAATAAAGGAAGCAAAATAAAACAATTATTGAATATTTGTCATATCAATAAACAATATGATTTTTAATTTAAATTTCATCGTCTAAATGAATAAAAGTTTTGGGAGAACTTACCGTTTGCAAAATTTCAGGAAACAAAGTCACACCGGAATTCTGGGTAGTTCGAAATCATGTCCATCAATAAAACTAGAGGTTTCATTTTAAGATTTTTATTTGAAAGAAAACCTTCAGAAGAAATAATTTAGAAGAGAATTAAATAGTTCTGATCGCTGAATAAGAAATGAAATAACTGAATGAAATTTAAATATTCATAATTAATATCTTTTAAAAAAACGGTTGGAAAGAAATCGATTTTTTCATTTCGTATCGATCTTATGAGTTTTTTCCTTCACTATAATTATACCAAAGACTCTATGATATGTACCATTTAAGAAATGTTTTAAATTTGAGATTGCTAGGAATTAAATTATGAAATCTGATAAATTATAAATAGATTCAATCAATTAGGAAGATTATAAATTGATTTGGATTTGATTTTCTCCTAAGAAGATCTAAGCACGTCAATTATTCACATACAGTAAAGAGATAAAAGTGATGATAATTATTTTGCTTATTGATATCACAAATGGTTTTCAGAAAAGTGATGGTATAAAAGAAAGATCATTCAAGTTGTGATATCGCGATATATCTTATCGAAGAATAATATCCCTTATTATTAATTTGCAAAAATTAAAACTCACAATACTTGATCAGTTTCACTATTCATTTTAGGTAAATAAAAGCAAAAGTATGAACGGCGAAATAAATGACAATACTCCATGTACATTCTATGAAGCAGTATTGAAATCCAATCGATCAACTGATAAAAATCAAGAACCCATTGCACCAGAACTCGCGGGACCACAGACAGTATCCACTTTACCTGGCATACTTCGAACTATAAAACGATGGCAAAAAAAGACTTATTATTCATTGGATTCTTCGCCAGACGAGGTTTATACAGCATTTCTCTTACAAAAATTACTATCCTATTCTGTTTTAAAACTTTCTTCATAATTTTTTTAAATGTTAATTGTAATTAGAAAGTTGATAGAAAACGAGAAATGGTAGATGTTCAGGATGTCTAAAATAGCTAAGTACAAAGAAACTATCCTCCATTAAGAAACGGTGATAAATAGTGATAAACTTATACAATTGATAATGAATCATCTTCTGTTAAGTTATCTTCGTCTTGTAAAAGCAGAAATAGATGAAAGAAATAGTTGCATCATCGTAAAATCATTTATTACAGCATCTATTTGACGTACAATAATACAGAAATGATATAATTTCAGATTTTGGATGATATGAAAACAATCATTCATTCCGATCTATTACATATGCCAACCGTTTGTTCTCCATTGATAGAACCAATGGGAGCAAATAGACACCGTGAACGGACTAATAATTAAAATAACGATAAAAATAGTTCAAAGTTCAAACGATAGAATAATTATGACTTGAATGCGTATTCAAATAATGGATGAAAATGTGATTCTTCTTGAATATTAGCGATCATTTACATCATTATCATATAAATAATTATTAGCCATTTTTATTAATATCTCTCTGTTTTTTTCAATCATCCTTTTCCGCTCCTTTTTCCAGCAATAATTTCATTACCTTAATAGTTTGATTGTTACTTTCACCTTCAAATAATTATGTACAACTTATCTGTGATAGTGTCTCTAACAGAGGAACATAAAACGTGACTGCTATATCTCAATTAGCATAGGAAGTGCATGTGTTATTCGTTCTCACTTACTTCTCCATCAAAAAGTGCACTAATGTATTTTTTTCTTCATAATATGATAAATTAACATATCCATTTCAATCTTATACTGCGCTGAATTAAAGTAATATTTTTGATAAGTAAGAACAATTAATTCTGATTGCATATATTACAGTCAATTAAGTATGAAAACAACTCAGAAAGAGCTTAGCGTAACTTTATACTATGATGACAAGAAAGGGTACAGTGAGCAAGATAACGGATGATAATTGAATTAATTATTGTGAGATTAAGTTTTCAAAATTGGTGTCAACGTGATCATCAAAAGATATATTTGGAAATCTTCAATTCCCGTATCTTTGGAATTTTGAAAGACCAAATAATTTATGGTTTTTTGAACCATTTTGGTAAATTTTCTGAGGGTCGTTGCTTCACTTTAGATGGACCTGCATCATTTTCTATTGAACCCGACTGACGTTTTCCATTCGGTCGAACATCCTCAGCATTTATCACTTTTGGAATGTACGGCTGATAAGTACTATTTACCGATAGCCTGATAAGAAGAAAAACGATGGTCAAATAAATCAAGAATTTCAGTTACTCATTAATATACTTTAATTCAGTTACTGAAAAAGTAAAATGAAAATAATCCACGAAAAAAAAATCTAAACAAGTTATGGCTCCGTATCTTGAGTTCTATCTTTCATTCCAGAATTTAATAATAATATTTGTATGAAGGAAGCAAAACCAGACTTATGTGCTCATTAACCGACACTGCAAAACATACCATTCCTGGCTAAGCTTATCTGCTTCTGGCATGGCAACT